TCCTTTCATTTATCCTCTTTGTATAGATCTACTGGATGTATAGATCTACTCTTTGTATAGATCTACTCTTTTTTTCTTAAAAAAAGTTTTTAATGAAAACTTCTTATTTTACGACACTATATTCATTTTTCTCCAGAAGTATTTGTAATAAATCAATGAGTCATTAATTTACTGTTTGATCAATGTAAATAATCAAATTTCATATCCAACCGTGGATATTAGTAAATTAAAATAGGTTTGAAATGAAACTTAAATTTTAAAGTTTGCATGGAACAATTCTGTTTTGCTTTAATATAGTCTTACATATGAATTCGTTTTTTATCACTAATTTCAAATTATGCAAGCAATTATGCTTTGAAATTTCCATAATGACGAGCTAAAACTTAATTGAACTTAAATTGATAAATTCTAATTAGGAGGAATAAAACGTTTAAAACTTTCTGTTGTTGAAATCAATTGGAAACATTCATTTTATTTAATAAAAACTACAAGAAACTATACCATATATGCGATTGAATAAAATATAATTTACATACAAACATTTTGTTCAAAATGATCACACCTACGTAGACGATACTTGATCATTGATTGAAAAGAAAAAAGAAAGATTTAATGAAAAATGCAAGAAAAAAAGGGAGAAATAACGATTGAAAAAGGAAAAGAAAGCATGAATAATTTGTATTCGAAAGTATAGGTCAGATCAAAGTATGTTATTCCTAAGGTTTTGTCAGTTTTTTCTTTTTTTTAAATCTTGAACAATTTACATTATTTATATTTCAAAAACGATAAAGAAGAATTCCCTCTTCCACATCTATCATCTTTTTTTCTCAACAAAAAGAGAGAGAGAAAAAAAAAGGACCGATTAATTAATTAAAAGCAATCGAACTATTTAGAAGTATATCAAAAACAAAAGAAAAGAAAAAATTGTGAGGGAAAAGCTCAGATTAATGGGAAAAAAAAATGGATGCAACATGTTCGAAGGATGGAACAGAAGGTGGGGCAAACGTAATTTTAGCTTGAAACTATTGGCTAATGCTTTGGAGTTGTTGAAGCTTTTAAATTGTTTGCTTACTGTGTATGCATTTGAATAAAAATATTAATAGTTTTTGCTATTAAACAATGAATGAATTATTAAGTTGATTTTTTCTCACTTCCCCTCTCTCCCTCTCTCTCTCTCTTCTTTTCATCTCCACATTTCATTTCTATTGGTCTTTTTTAATTTTTTGAAATTTCAACATTAATATAATACCCAATAGGATTATATTTGCAAGTTGCAAGTTTTCAAAATAGTGAAGTACGTTTTGATGGGAAGTTTTATTTTTGTAAGTGCTAATTGGCTCTTTCATGCAATCATCTTGTAATGAAGTTATTGCTGCGAGATCATTATTAAGCAAAAACGGAAATGATGATTTGCTTTTGCTATAAACGACACACATATTCCGGAAACGAATCATCCTAATATTCAATGGCTTTTTTTCCTCTTCAAATCAAAGAAATTTAAAATCGACTAAAATTTGATATCTTTTACATATAGCATTGTTACTTAATTGTTTAAACTTGACATTAGCAAGAGAGAAAAAGAAAAAACCTTACACTAACTTCTCATGATCCATTTTCTAAAATGATGACTTTTTGAATTTGTAAACCTGAAATTCCTATACAGTTAGTAGTGTCATAGTTGACAATGATGATTCAGGATGAATTGCATGATCTGGGGGAAAAAAAATTCTCAATGATAGTGATTCCAGAGGTATCAGATTGAGAGAAAAAATTTACAAGATTTATTAGATTGTTAAATTTTAACAACTTGTTAGCATTGCCATCTAACAAATGCATGCAAATAGATGTAATTATATGCAGAAAAATTCGTATGATGACAAATCCGTAATTTAGTGACATTGTTAGAACGGAATGAACTAAAGAGGGTAGATCCAAAACTAACGAAGACATATTTTCTAAGGGATGTCTCTTCCTAACAACCTTATTGTGATTATTTACGTTAACTTTGT